CGACCTAAGGGAGGCTCCAGGACCCGGTTTCAGATAATCGTCACCGGTGTTGGCCGTGAGCTAGAATCGAACTCGGGTTGCGGAGGTTGATAGCGCAGCGCGCGCTAACCATTGCGCTACTGATACACTACCGTGCGCAGACACGCACGCACACGCGAGCGCGTGCAACTGATAACGCCCGTACTGTTCGTTACCTGATTTACAATCCCCGACGCCAGATTCCACCACTCTGTGCTGCACCTCCGATCGCTCCGTTCTCGTTCTTGTTCTCGCTTCATTTCTGGCCACCGCGGGCACCATCCGCCAGGACGTGTTGGCTTTTATCCGTTCGGGAGACATCGTCATCAAACAAAGTGCAGTGCGCAGGGCGATACGCACCCCTTGTGTTTTTTACCGCAAGCTAAAGATGGAAATGCCCATGGCAGTGACCGGTATCTCCATTCAAACAAAAGCCCATCAGTTGAGATCTCAAAAGAACTTGTAAATAAGTACTTGTGCTTATTTATTCATCCCTGGATGGATGATTGGTTTGAGCCAACACCCTGATATGGAATCGATCTTGGGACTTTCCAACTGTGAGTCGTGAGTTCTCACGACCACTGCCGCTACCACTGCTGCCGCCACACCTCCGCGCGGTCGCAGGGAAGTGATTTCTTCCTGGCCACCGCGTTTGCAGGCAGCCAGCACAACTCACCGCTCGAGCCAAGAGGCAATCGATGACTCCACCGATCATCGGTTCCATTGCTCGACTGAACGGACGGCGCGTTTGACTGTTTGTAAGCCAAAAATTAAGAGACGAGAGATGCAGACAAGACGGGAGAGAGAGAGAGAGAGAGAGCTGTCCGTGGAATGAGAGATGTCGACACACTGTGGTAAGGGGAGAGCAGAGAGCTGCAGACGAGATAGAGGTCAGAGAGATTATTCGTGAGAGGTTTGTTTTGGGGATAAATCGCGTAGATGTAAATGTGCCGTTAAACCCGCCACCACCCGATTACAGCCAATTTGGAAGGTTTGTCACGTAGTTCAGCACACCAGTGTGTCGGAGAGTATTTACAATTATTACGGATAATATTTGTCGCGAAAAGCCTAAGGTGTTAAACTGAGAGAGATTAATTAGCCTTTTACATTAATTTCGATTTTCTTTTTTTGGCTGGTTTGGTAAGACCTGAATCCGAGCTGATATTTAGTTGAATCACCCAGGGGGGGGGGGGGGGGGGCGGGAACTGCTGCGCTACTTGGGGCACCTCAACTTTTGCTTGATGTGATTATGCCTAGCCCCCCCCCCCTCCACTGCCGCCCCACCCCCCCACCCGTTGGGAGTGATTCGGCGAGGCGAGGAGTGGGAGAGCCATTTGGCGCTGCCGCTGCTGCTGCCCGCGCCACTCAACGATGAAATTAAGAGACTTCACGCACCAGCCCCAACACCCACGCTCCACCGCCTTCATTTTACGTTTGACTTTTATGATTTTTTTTCTTTCCCCCACATTCATTGTATTATTTCATTATTTTCTTCTTCTGCGCAGCCCTTTTATAGCCGGCTTGGCGCGTGTTTTTTTTGTTTTGTTCGAGTACGTTTCGGATATATATTTTTACCCTTGGCCCGTCTGTTGCTGCGGCACGCGTGTCGTCGATGCGGTACTTTGGGTGAGAGCGTGCACGCCTGCGAATGTAGCCTCATGGAGGAAAGTCTGTAAATGGAATGTGCACAGATTAGTTATGAATCATAATTTCAGAAAGGCCTCTGTCAATCCACTGCTGGGCATAGGCCTACTACCCACTCATCGTGTTGATCGTGGGCTTCGTTTGACCATCCTTCACTACACTGGTTAGTGACGGAGCCAAGGACTGATTCAGATATCACTCGCTACTGATCGAGTGATATCTGAATCACGTGGCCCTGGCCAGGAATCGTTTAAATAGCTTTATCGCGGTCCAAAGGTGCAGTGCACAAACTACTATGCTACGTACGGTGTGAAAGAAATTCAACATGCATACGCACACTGCTCATCCTCAGATTAGTAATTCTTATATTATATTTGCCCCTTATGTGTTGAGTACATATGATCCAGGCAGGAGGTGCAGTGTTATTCTGATAAATTTCAAATCCTGTTTAGGGGTCAACGCGGCCCATCATACCTCCGTGGTTTCATAACATGAGTGCCACTTCATACAGGAAGTCTACAGCGGTCATCCCATGGTGAAACTCGCCCCCATCCAGGGGAATGTGGAGCGGCCACCGCCGATGGAGAGCGGATAACTCCCGGTTGTGCAATTATGAGTTCAAATGTTGTTTTCCCACCCATCATCATCATCATCAACATCAGCGTCATAATCACCACCATCACCACCTCACCAGCACTGCTATCATCACCATCTCCCCGGGGTCGATGGGAAATATGAGTCCCGCCAGCTGGTGAAACTACACAAACATAATTATATACCATAGACTGAGATGGTGAGATGCAGTTAAACATTTTCCACTGATTTGGAATTTTACACGGGTGGCTAAGATGTGTCAGAGTGAAGCACCGATCGCTCAACAAATTACGCCACCGTTCTCCGCAAATGAGCCCTGCCGTAGGAGAGTGAAATTTTCACCCACTGGCTTAGGGCCTAGATACAAGTAAGCAGGGCTGCTGACTCACTCCCGTGTTCACTCCCAAAAGCAACACTCAAATAACTCTTTGGTTATTTCGGTAAAGTCACGTGGGTAGAAATGAAATTAAAAAAAACATGACGTTTCGATCGCAACACAAGCGGTCGTCATAACATTGCCTGATGACGACCGCGTGTGTTGCGATCGAAACGTCGTGATTTGTTTGATTTTATTTTCTACCGACGTGACTTTACCGAAAGAACCAAAGAGTGTGGATTCCTGCAGTCACGAGAGCTTCAAAACACTCAAATTGCCAACTGGGCGAGTGATCTGCGAGTGGCGGCTTTAAGGGAGCTCTTTGGCCTCGGGCCCACAGTGCGGCACGACTCTCGAGGACAGACGAGTCACAGTGGTGACAGTGGTGATGTCGTGGGACCTTTTTTTGCCACCATCAAAGTATGAAGAATTAGAAGAGGTTTTACCCATGATATAGCTGCTCAACCCGAGCTTTAAATGCTCTGATACGTGGCGTTCTCTGCTCTGATACGGCCGATACAAGGCCATAAAGAAGGCTGTCTCCCGTGTAGGCAAATCAGTTTCAAAGACAATGCATGTATTATTTGTCTGTACGTTTATCCACACGTACGTGTGGTTAATGCGGACTTAACTCCTTGCAAAAGGTGTTTGAACATCTTAACACCTAGCTGTTTTATCGCCAGAAAGGGTAAAACCTCTTCTTATTTTTCAGACAGTGGTTACCCAGAACAGGTCAGTGGGGTTGTCCCTCGGTAGTCGTAGCGTCACAATTACCCCCCCCCCCCACCTCCCCCATTGACTATTGCAATGTTACCCAAGCGGCGACTCAGCACGCTGGCCCCAGCCACGACGAGCGGGACCCCGACGGGGCCTCGGCCATTTGTGAGACCAAAGGGCAAGGGTCGATCTGGCGAACGCGACGCTCGCAACGCTCGCGACGCGCTTCAAAGTCGGGCTGCGCAACGCGCGACGCACGACGGAGGCCAGTGGCATGTGCGTGCGGAACGCAAATACGCTCTCTCCACGTGTAAATCCCGGATGCTTGGGGGGGGGGGGGCGATCGGAGAGGGATGCAGCAGGCAAAAAAATAAACACACAGCCGCTTGTGAGTGTGTCCTCGTGGGCGCGACAATCAGCTGCCTATTTCCATATAAATTGGCTGTGGGGAAAATTGGGGGTCCCATTTATTTGTATAGTTAGCTCTCCAGGACGCGTGCTAATCACCGAACAATCCTCCCCAAGAATAACGGCGGAAAGTGGTGAAATTGGAATTTCGAAGTGCTTATTATTTTTTAAGACCACCTTTCGGTTTGTGGGCAGCTTAAGCAGATCTATATGTATTTATTTGCTTACTTTAATCAGGCTATTCATAGCGCTCACTTCCGTGGATAATCCTAATGAAGGCGGCTAACGTTTCCGCGTCGTAATTAAGGTCCGACGCGTCGAGTGACCGCCGTTTGAGCCGAGGCTGGGCTGCCCGGCGCTGCGGATCGAGCGAGGGCCCGGCACTTGAGTTCAATCCCCTGCCCTGGGTCAACCCAGCTCATCGTCCATCCAGGGTCATGAAAAAAAAAACCGCACGTGGCTTTGTTGGAAGCCAACATGCGTCACTGTATAGTTTATACCGGGCCCTGCCAAAGGAATGTAGAATTCCCACTAATGGGCTCAGTGCCCCTGATGGAGATGAACACCATTTTGGCTAATATTTTATTTAAATTCAGCAATTCATGAGAAGGCTGAGTGAGACTCGTCAAATTCGCAACTCAAGAACCCGATTTTGTCTCTTACGTCACAAAAACAAGTGAGCTTATGCGTGATAGAGGACATGAATATTCTTCAGAAGGTAACGGAAGTGAGACTCGGATTGTTTGGGCACATGTCGAGAAGGCGTCGAATTTAGAGGCGCCAAGGAAATGCCACCGCTGCAGGGGAGAAGGACGAGAGGGAGACCGAGAGTGAGATGGGAGGACGCGGCGGAACGAGATCTGAGGGCGGAGGATTTGATTTGACACGACACGTGGGAATTCTGGCTTAAAACAAGATGCAAGTCAAGGGGCCGCTGTGTATTTCTCCAGTGCTCTTTTCTGTTCATGTATCAAGAACGTGCATGCGTGCCTACAGGGGTCTCTGAGTAAGTCAATGGCTCCGTATGTAAGGGGAGCGGTAGGCGACTAGAGAAGTGGCGCTGGATAGAAGCGCACGGAGGGAGAAATCTGTGCAGTCGCCCCCCCCCCCTCGCTCCCCAGTGCCAGAGTGGCGCTTCTGGCTTGGACGAAGCGCTCAGTGGTGCCGGCACAGCGCTCCAGCACGGCCAACCGCGGCCGTGCTTTCCAGGGCAAAAGTAAAAATCTGGAAAATAACAAACCACCTGTGATCTTGTCCCGAATCAGCTTGCACGACTCGATCTCGCCGATGCTCCCGAACAGGCTCTTCATCTCCTCCTGGGTCATGGTCTGCGGCAGGTAGTTGACGATGAGGTTGGTCTTGCTGTCCTCCATGGAGGAGCCGGCGGCCTGCAGCGAGGGCCCCAGCAGCGGGCAGCCGGCGCCGCCGCCCCCCCCGCCGCCGCCGCCGGAGTTGGGCCCAACGTTCGCCGGACCGCCGCACACCGATCCGTTTGCCAGGTGGGTCTCCATGGCCGCCAGTACCTGCTGGTGAGAAAAGCACGGCACGTTAGAAGCCCCCTCCAAGGCACGCGTGCGAGAGAGAGAGGGGGGGGGGAGATGCACGTCCTTCCGCTGCCTGATTGTCGGGAGCGACGCGGAAGCCGCCGATGCGGCGTAGCGCCAGCTCGGCCTGCACCCTGGCGCAGAGGGAAATGATGGTGATGGCCCACCTTTGGTGGCGGCGCAATTATGGTGATGTTGTACCGATTATGGTGATGATGTACCGATTATGGTGATGATGTACCGATTATGGTACCGATTCGAATAATTCACGTCAAAAAAAAAGCGAGCAACCGATTACGATTCAAATGATTTCCAATCGTGCCATTCAGTCTCGGCTACCATCGATCGCGTGTGGCGTCAACGCCCTCGCGCGATGCCACCGTGATGCCACTCCGAGACCACTGGTGGCGGACTTTGGTGACAGCTTTCAAGTCTTTCTCATTCACAAAGCGTCCACCTGGTATGCGGTAGCCGAGGACAGCAGAGCCTGCACGTGTGCGCCAACAGGATGTGAGCTGTGCTACGGTGTCCGGTCCATTTCTAAGAGAGGCAGCAAAAGCTCATCGTGATCAATTGTCAATGCGAAGCTTCCATTCACTTCCCCTGTGATCGATCAGTCTCGTGTGATCGCCATTCACTTTTTATTGAAATCGCTCGCAATTACGGCCGCTCCGCTGATTGCATGCAAATCAATTCCCAAAGTGATTGCCCATTGAGATCATTTCGCCGAGATCAATGCCCGTCCAATCGATGGTGGGGGGGGGGGGGGGGCATTGTATCAGTTTCAATCGCAATGCCGCTCATCGCCACTGTTCGTTGCACGCGCAACACGGTGAGTAACTAGTAATGTACTAATAGGGGGTTTCCCCTTTTTTCTGGCAACAAAACTGACACCTTTTGCAAGGAATCATGTTTACATTAACCACAATACTTGCAGTCAAATGCAAACAAAAAACAATACTTTGGTAATTTATGCATTGTCTTTGAAACTGATTGGTCCACACCAGAGACAGCTTTCTTTGGAGCCTCGTCTCATATGGTGTTCGACCAGATGACGCCAAAAGGCGCACGATGATGGAGATAGTAATGTAATGTATCGCATCAAGGCGTTCGAGTAGGAACGCAGCCGCCCAGATTTATGGATGCGTTCAAGGTTCAACGGACTTGACTTGAGCCCCATACACGTCCGTGGCCTTGTGCTTTTATGAGCACCTCAAGTGGCCGGGTGGTAGAGGCAACAACGGTGGACTCAGCATTGACCACTCATTCAGGGAGACACTCTCGCGCGTGCACATAAGGAGTATTGAGGAGTTAAACAGGCGGGTTTCAACATCGTTTGCACTGAGAAGCCAGCTATTAAAGCCACGTGCAAAATCGTGCGAATGACAATTTTCTACCCTCGTCTCCTAAGCCAGAAGTTCCGCTCATGTGCGGGGTCGGCCACTCTGGTTTTACTTCACCGTGAGCCTCTGTCCATACCGTGCCTCATCGCTTGTCACATTTACTGTCGTTAGACGAGAGATCCATAGACTTACTCATAGACTCACATAGATACCCTACACTTATATATACATACACGCACAACCCACAAACTTGAACAGAGACCCATACACTCACATTAATATGTTAAATATATAAAAATACAAATATCCCCCATATAGCCTTAACAGACTGTTGGGGCAAGTGCTGTTAGCGAGCACCTATGAAGGCCGGCACAGCACACGAGGGCGTGGGTGGCCAGCACCGCGCCCGGGCCGCCTTTTTCTCCCGAGTGCCGATGTTTACAAATTGAACTAGGTACTCATTTGAGGCTGAGTCAAGCAAGGGGAGGCCTAAGGCCGGTTCACATATTCGTCACTGGAGTTGGCCATGAGCGGCAATCGGACTTGGCTTGCCGGGTTCATAGCGCAGCACGCTAACGGCTGCACTCGAGACCCATACACTCACATAGATCCACGTAGACACTCGTACAACTCACGTGGTTGGCTATGTGAGTGCATAGTGCGCCTGAGTCGGTGCCACCTGGAGTGACTAATGCTGCCAGTCACCACCATGGCCAATGAGCGCCAGTGTCAGCCGGACGCGAGAGCTCGGCTTTTGTTCACACGTGACGATGCCGGACGCATTTCTCCAGCGAAACGTTGTGCAGGTTTGTCAAAACCTGCCCGAGACGTCTTCTATTATATTATATATTTTTAGTTTTTTAAGACCACGGTGTTATTGACAAATGCCTCGAGTCTTTTTTTTTGGTCCACGATGTTCACCATCAAATATAAAGTTGAAGATTATGTGAACTTCTCTTTTATCCGTGGGCATGCACCTTGCCCCACTAACAAATCGGAGCTCAGCCGCATTGTAAAGATTTGCCAAGGGGAGTGCAGTGGGAATTAATTTAGACGCTACTCAACAAACAACAAGAAAATCCACAACTTAGTAGATATTCACCGTTCATGGCATTTAAAACCGACACAGGTCGCGAAGCTGAAAGTTTCCCTAATGGATTTTTCTTTTTTAACATTTGATTAAAACGTCTACGGGGCTTTGGTGTGAAGTTTTACAATGCGTGTTAAGCTGGCATTCAAATTATTGACTTAATTTCTGGAACGATTATGTCACGGTGCTGAGAAATAGCCCGACAGGCAATCACAGCCGGTACCCACAGTACCAGGACTGGCAAGAGATTGATGCAGCATTACCCTTCTGACAATATTAATTAAACTCTCATGGAATATCAATTCGCTGCCAATAGGTTTGCACTGCCTATAGAATTTTGCGATTGCAATGATGTCGTACTTTAGGAGTTGATATTTTGGAATGCAATGTACTTTTGAATTCAATATAAAAATAAATATTTCACCTGGATAATCCCTTGAGATGGAACATGTCGTTTCGCGAGGGTGTATCCAGGGTGCCGATTGACACACACACATAATAACGCGTATGCAAACATTCGAAATCTATGACTTACGCAGTTTTCCAAATAACACTACACGCGTCAATGAACACGTGCACCACTCACAGCCTATCACACGCGTCAATGAACACGTGCATCACACACAGCCTGTCACACGCGTCAGTGAACACGTGCATCACACACAGCCTGTCACACACGTCAATGAACACGTGCATCACTCACAGCCTGTCACACGCGTCAATGAACACGTGCATCACACACAGCCTGTCACACGCGTCAATGAACACGTGCACCACACACAGCCTGTCACACACGTCAATGAACACGTGCACCACACACAGCCTGTCACACACGTCAATTAACACGTGCATCACACACAGCCTGTCACACACGTCAATGAACACGTGCACCACACACAGCCTGTCACACGCGTCAATGAACACGTGCATCACACACAGCCTGTCACACGCGTCAATGAACACGTGCATCACACACAGCCTGTCACACGCGTCAATGAACACGTGCATCACACACAGCCTGTCACACGCGTCACTGAACACGTGCATCACACACAGCCTGTCACACGCGTCAATGAACACGTGCATCACACACAGCCTGTCACACGCGTCACTGAACACGTGCATCACACACAGCCTGTCACACGCGTCAATGAACATGTGCATCACTCACAGCCGGTCACACGCGTCAATGAACACGTGCACCACTAAGACGGTGAGCAGCCGGGGGTTCACGTGAGATTGTTTCTTTTTTCTGGCTGTAAAACATTTGCACGATTGTTTTAATGAGATAATTAAATAACTTGAGACTTGACGGTGCACTTTAGCGGCTCGAGAAGAGTGCACATTGGCACTGCTCAAGGGAAGGTTGCGACTTGCGGTTTACAGAAATTAGGAATGCCCCCCCCCACCCCCTCGCACCCTCCCCCTCTTTCCCATCCCACTTTCATGTTAGTTGTCTCCCCCCCCACCCAACATCCCCCCACCCCCCCATATAAACGTTCACTTCTCTGCTAGAGGTACCCCCACCCCCCCTGTGTGGGGTAGTTAGCCCAACCCACCCCCTCTTCACCCAAGCCCGGCCACGGCGTCATTCTTCGGATTTTGTTCGCGAAATTTTTGCCACCACCCCCCCCCCCCACCTTGTTGTTCTGTGATCGGTGCTCTGCATCGGGCTCGTGTTGTGTTGAAAATAAAACAATAACAACACCCGCGAAGTGATAATTGTAGAGCGGCAGTGTAAACTATAAAAAGATATATATATATATAACCAGGTAAGGCCCATTTAGCTATGTAGCTCACAGTCAGTAGTGACCTGCCTATCACAAATGATAGCTCAACGAAGTGGCCTATCACGTGGATATTTATAGCAGCCAAATACTCGTTGATTTTAAATATGGAGGGAGAAATCGGAGGGCCCGGAGATAAATCCAAGGCGAGGTAGTTTAGGTCTCGCCGCCGTGTCGCCCGGCCAAAGGGAGGCAGACGCGTCTGAGAAGCACGTCCACGGTGAGAGACGGAGCAATTAGAGTTCGCTCCGTCTCTCAGCGTTATCCAATTTCACGATCCGCAACGTCCCGTCGCGAGCGTCGCGAGCGATGTCAGAGCGACGCCGGCGACGGCATCCGGCTACCGGCCGCCGCCACCATGAAAAAAACGATAATCACCTTACACGCTCGTCTCGTCTCATTTCACACAGATTCGGGAAGCTCGGGAGAGATCCACGAATAGAACAACTGTGAAATCGCTCGGAGAAAGAATGAGAAAAAAAACGTTACTGAATAAACGCATCTTGTAAATTAAACTAAAACCGCGATGCGTCAACACGCGGACGGACGGACGAACGTACGTATGTTGAACTTCTTTTGCCCCGTACGTCGCCAACATTGCTAATCGGAGGTGCGGGTGAAGGACAACAAACTGAACACAAACAGCTGCTCTAAAGAAACGAGTTTTCAATCAACATTTGAAAGTGCACAGCTCCCAGTGGCTTCCTAATATCGGAAGGAAGAGCGTTCCAGACGGCCGCAGAAGCGCATTGAAAGCGCCGC